TCTGGGATATTGCAAATAGCGTGTGTCCCGGAAAGGAGGAAATTTTAATTCGCGGAATATCTGTCTATGACAGAGTCGTATCGAGTACTGGACCGGGCACGGACGACGTTATTACGATATAAATATTGAATTTCGATGTATATCGACAACCTTCGCTTCTCGATGTGATCCTCGCGATACCGGCATCTGTTACGGATGCTTTATTAGAAGCATGTAACGTCGCAAATTTTGCGTGACAAAAGTTGCACTCGTTTCATAATTTAATAACCAGCCTGTGTGTTACCCGAGAAGCCTCGAGATGCTTACATCTCGTGGCTGGAGTTCTCTCTCTCTCTCTCTCTCTCTCTCTCTCTCTCTCTCTCTCTCTCTCTCCCCCTCCTTCTTCATCGGTAACAAGCTTAAACATTTTGATCGAAAATATGTTTCATCCATATATACGGTTCCCTTTCTCTTGTGAGAAATCATATTGTGAAACAGAATGAGAGACACGGATATGAAGCGCGATGAAATAGTTTCCTTGGAAAATTGAATTTTTAATCTTCTAATTTCGAGTCGGTTTGCGAAAGGCGCAAAAGAACGAAAAACAAAAGAAATAAGAATATTCCATAAAACGCACGGGGTAGAGATTCCGGCAATTACTACGAATAAATGTCCTCGTCGCGCGCGGGGAATCCGCGCTATCAGCAGCGGACGGGGGAAACGCGCGTTGGCGTATCTTCCGCAGCCACAGAACTGTCTCTCAGGCTGAGTAATAACTTCCGCGATGTTAAATTCGATACGAGCTGCATTTCTGCATGCAACTCGTATTTAAAACAATCGCGCGCAATTACGGGCCTTTTTACGGTGACAAATCGATATCCAGCGACGAAAAGAGAAGACAAGAGAGAGAGAGAGAGAGAGAGAGAGAGAGAGAGAGAGAGAGAGAGAGAGAGAGAGAGAGAGAGAGAGAAAGAGAATAAAGTCCAATAAAGAAAGTCCACGACGAGACGGTCTCGTATCGCGGGACGAGTGAAGAGAGACCGATAAAACTCAATTGAGGATTTATGTGTTAGAATTAAGAGACAGTTATGGTAGTTTTATGGTGAGCCCCCTGGCAAAGCAAACACATACATGTGCATACGCACATGCACACACAAGACAGACGGCAGATATTTCATCACACACATAAACGTAACGTAAGAAATTCAACTGTTGGGCGTAAAAATCGTTAAAAATTGAACCGCGATGGCGGAATATTTAAATATCTCAAGTGACAATTCGCTCGAAAATATTCACTCGGAAATAATCTTGTCAAATTCATCTCGATATCAAATAAAAAAAAGAAACTATCAAGATATATATATATATACACCACGTATAAATTATTCTCAGAGAGTTGCAATCTATTCTTCTTGAAATTTAAAATACACGCGAATACTGACATCACATTGACGACACAACTTCAGAAAATATGAAAGTAAGTCCTGCTCGGAATCAAGCAAGCACACAGAGGACATAGACGACTGCAGGATATCTGCACATGCAGGACAGGCTGCAGGTTTTTATGCATACGCGGATTTGATTTTGTCGCGAATGCAAGTACAACCGATACCAAAATAGTTTCGACGCGAGCGTGCAAAATTCAGAATATAAAAAGTGCGGGACAAAGCATCTGTCAAATGGCATTGTCGGACGCGCGGCCGGCGATGCCTCACATGATCGCGCAGTTGCACGAAATATCAATCCGCCGACGTGTACTGCGCCCCGCGTATTATCTTATTATTATTTTTACACTCTTCCTTCTTCCTTTCACCATGCGTATCCGCAGAAGCTCGCGACAGAAGGCGACGACAAGCGCGGCACGGTCCGACGATTGTGTGAGTAATTAACGACAAACCAAGAGGAAAGGGCCACGCGCGCGCCAGCGGTTTTCCGCTGGAAAAGCTTCGAGACATTCAATTAGGCAGCTCGCCAATCGCGAGCCGGGCCGAGAGCGACTCCGAACGTACTGAGTGCCAAGCGATCGATCAAAATTTTCTTGCAATAAACGTCCTCTAAACCCGTTCGTGATCGGGAGAGCCACGAACGATTCGTTGCAGTATGCAAATTACGAGGGAATACACGCGAAGGAGATGTTTATCGATATTTCAGCTTTTTCTTCGGCGTTTCACCGGTCATGGACAAATTTATCGTTCAATTTTGCGCGTAGCCATGTTTGTCGGCCGACATTAAAATTGTATTATTTTCTACTTTGTCCGCGGCGGTGAAATTGTGCAGTCGAAAGATTTTTGAGAAACCGCGGATTGTTGTCGGGAAATATTTTTCGTAGAAATCGCTATTTAATGATAATAAATGTATTTATGCAAAAGGAATATTTTTCAACTTTCCTAACTTAATTACATGTCCAATGATAATCGCGACACCCGCGTGCGGATTGACTTTGATTCGGCGACAACGACTTTGGTACTTTGTCATTAATTTGCGAAGTGTCGTTTAATGTGTTTCAAGTATACGAATAAATAAAGTTCTCTCGTCGAATAAAAGAGCCGCAAATGAGGCTCTGTATAATTACTCTTGCACGCCTCTGCCAATAATTCCAAATGAATCGTGCCCCCGCAACAGCGCGGCCCCAATCCGGGGCCTAATTACAAGTGTAATTTATCGCCATTGCGTCGCAAAGTTTGCCCGATCAAATTGAGACCGGGCGAAATTAAACGCGAAAGAAATCCCGACCGCCACCGAGGCGATGGCGATCGGGACTCGGTACGGTAAGCGGTACAAATCGATGCCGCTCGAGGGTAACACTGCCAAATAAAGGGTTAAACGGATCACGACGTCGGTCGTATTTTTCGCGGCGGCTGAAAAAAAAGAAAAAAAAAAACAAAAAAGAGAGCGCCGTGTTATACTGTTACCGCGGCGCGCGCGCGTGGTGACGCGGTGAGGAAAAAAATGCACTACTCTACTGCCTCAGATATTGAATGGGGAACGAGAGTGCCGTCCCTCTTACACTGGCCGTTCGCAGCGGAGAAAGGTCATTGCACACTCGTAAACAAACAGGACGCGGCGCGGCGTCTATAGCGGCCGCGTCACTGAACGTACACACCGATCTAATGCCGCGCGGCTCAAGGTCGCTTCGTCCGTGGCTGCCGAACGTGCGCGATTCTGCCTTTTTAAATTCTCGCGAAAACGCGGCGTGCGCGTGCTTCATGAATTTCGCCGACTTCCGACGACTCTTTGCGCGTTGTATTTCGACTCGTGTCTCATCACGACCGGCTCGTCGCTTCATTTCGCGGAAACCCGCCGAAAACGTCCGGGTGTCTACGGTACTGAAGACTTTTTGCCAACTCGTAACTGATTGCTCGATTAATGTCAAATGGATGATTACGCGGCTGCAAGTTTTACTCGGAGATCGATTACAGCGAGATATATATATATATATATATATATATAGCGGATAACTTACAAGCTGAGGTAAATGTCGCCTCGACGTTTTCGATTGGATCAATTCCGAAGGGTCTGTCGTTTCAAATTAATCTGTTCAACGTTATAAACGGCGAGTCTCGCGGAGATGTCAAGTTCGACAAGTGTAAAACTATAAATAAATGATGAAACAAGCACACGAATGAGAAATGAGAGCGATTCTTTTCCAAGCGCGCTTTTTTCGGCGAAAATAATTTATGTAGGAAAAATGTCAATTTTACGTCACGTATTCGCGAAATATCGGCGATGAACGGCGATGAAAAGCGGCGGGTCCCTATATTGAGAACTAAACTATTATTCATATATTTGTACACTCGATTATGTGAATAGATACACCATCGGTTGTTATTCAGTATCCGATTTCAAATTCAATATTAGTGAACTAACCACTGACATTTCGTGTGCGTGTTGCAAGTTCGAGATAAATGTACGCAGACAGATGGACAGACACAACGAAAGAACTTTAAATCCAATTCAATTTAAAGGGTTTCTACGCGCGCGCGCGTGTATGTGTGTGTGTGTGTGTGTATGTGTGTCGTAACACATCTGTTTAACACGAGCACACGTCGAAATGAAAGATGACGCGATGCGACCTTAAACTCTGACTGAATCTTAGGCATTTGCAAGATTCAACAAAACCACAATAAAGCTTTATCAACGATCGCGATAAATATTCTCGTAAAAAGACCCGATTCTACCTGAGAGAATCAATTCCGATGGCATGTTTACGGGCGACTTCCTCTTTTGTTGTTGCAAAAAATTCTGACGCGCCCGGCGCAAGGCGAAATTTATCGCGTCGTTAAGCTCGTCGCGAATCCGACGATCACGTTACCGCGGTTTCTCATTCGAACTTTTTTCGCATTGTTGAGAAAAGCCGCTCTCTCTCTCTCTCTCTCTGTCTCTCTCTCTCGTAGGGAGGAAACGCGAAGATCAAAGATTCATACTCGTGCGCGACGCGCGACAAATCGAGCGATATTCGGCACATTCGGAGTGTACAACAATCCCCATTTCACGTGCGGAGACGCGTTCCTTCACGCTACAGCGTTTGACACCGACCGCAACGAGAAGGTCAAAGGTCACTAACCACTTCGTACTCTCAAACGAATTTAACCGGCGCGGCGCCGTGGCGGCTGATACTAGCTAAATGCTAGTGAATGAATGGACGGCTGACCGACCAAGGCACGGCGTGCGATTATTCTCTAAACACTCGCGCACCTGTTCTTTTTCTTCCTCATCAAAGAAGCGACAAAAGAGGAGGAAACAAACGCCGGTCGATCGAACGACGAAGCGCCGAAGCGTCGTCATCGATCGTGACTCATGCCATATGAATGACATCTTAATTGCTCGTTATCTTAGATGATTACTAAATTACAGTCATTTCGACAATTTCTTCCCGTCCAAGATATGATACATCGACATTTTACGACTTACGCTCGGAGAAACAGAGAAACACGCGACCGCGCGCTGATCCATCGACGAGAATCCACCGCGGAGCGCTTTCGATTTAGATCGTCGATACAGATGTAAGTGTGACTTATTACCTGTTGCCAATGATCCTCGAGCGACGGCTGAGCTGAGAAGTATCCGGTGTCGTGTATGTCCTGCAGCTCCCGAAATATATTACCGCTCGGCAGGATATCCATGGCTACGCGCGCGGCTAAGTCCCTCGCGACGGCCCTCCGCGCTCCGAACTGCACTCTCACGCGCTACAATGTCGCGTGTTAACGCGGTCGCAGCGGCGACGAGAAACCAAACTCCGAGAACGCGCCGACGAGAAACCGGCGTCACTCACTCTTGTACGTTGTAGAGCGCGCGCGTGAAAAACAACGCGACGCGGCGAACCAACAAAAGATGTATTTATTCACTGAACACGCGTCGAGCGTGGACGCGCGCTCGCGCGTACGACAACTCGCGACGATGACTCGCGCGCACGCACGCACCTACGTGAATGTAGCGAGTAGCGGCGAGCGCACGTGCGTATCATCGGAGAGAGAGAGGCTCGCCCCCTCCTTCTCGTCGTCTGTGATCGCGCGAGAGAACGCGCGCGCGCGCGCTGCGACGATAACACGATAACAGGAAGAACGATCGCGCTGCGATCGCGATTTAAGGGACACGGTCGAGGCTGCGAGGCGAGCCGACCTGACGTACAGCCACACCACTTCCCGGAGCAGTCCGTTCCCGCAGTTCGTTCCGGCTTCCGTGAACGCGCGCGCACTACACGTCCAAAAGCTCTCTCTCTCTCTCTTTCTCTCTCTCAGTCTCTCTCTCTATGTATCTCTCTCTTTCTTGCTCCCTCGTCGTTACGGCAACGAGGGTGAGCTATTGCTTTCGTTGCTGGTGCGGTGCTGGTGGTGGTGGTGGTGGTGGTGGTGATGCTGCTGCTGCTGTTGTTAATGTCGCGGCTACTACTGCTGCTGCTGCTGCTGCTGCTGCTGCTGCTGCTGCTGCTGCTGCTTCTGCTTCTGCTTCTGCTGTTGTTGCTGCTGCTGCTGCTGCTGCTGCTGCTGTTGCTGCTATTGCTGCTGCTGCTGCTACTGTCACCGGTGAAACACGCGGCCGGAGCAAACTCACTGCGACGACGACGTCACTCGCGCGACTCGACGTTCTGTCTGCTGGCGTCGCGTGCACGGTTTGCTCGCGACAGTATCCATCACACACGAAGCGGGGGCGGAGAGAGGGAGACGCAACGTCAAAATGCCGGCTCGAGTCGCGTAGCGTCGTCTGCGCGGTTCATTCGTATTACTGCGCCTCTTCGCGTCGTCGTCGTCCCTTCCGTCGTTATTACCGCTGCGCTCTCCCTCTGTGAGACTGGCGATTCTCTCTCTCTCTCTCTCTCTCTTCCTCTCTCTCTCTCTTCCTCTCTCTCTTCTCTCTCTCTCTCTCTCTCTCTCTCTCTCTCTCTCTCGACGATGCTCTCACTTGCGCTCTCTTTCAACTCGATTCTCTATTTCTATCTCTTCCGGCGATTCGTGCGGAGTATCCGTCGCACGAGCTTCGATGTCTCCCTTCACTTCAACTGCCGACGAAAACCCGTGTATTCGTCGCCGACGACGACGGCGACGACGGCGACGGCGACGGCGGCGACGACGACGGCGACGACGACGACGACGACACACACGCGAACGTTTCTCTCGTTTTCTCTATGTACGTACGTGTATATATATCCCTCTATTTCCCCCTTACATATATATGTATGTATGCATATATCTAGCGCTTTCTCCGTCACTGCTCGCGTACCGGCTTTTCTCTCGCGTGCGCGTCTACACAGCGACGCCGGTTCACTACGCCGTGTCACTACGCGACGACGATCGCGGCTCGCACGATCGCCCGGACCGATTGCACGTCACCAAGGTATCAGACCTGTTGAGATAACACCGAACGAGATATTTTGACACTCCGTAAGGGACCGGCGGTATCCCCAACCACTAAATGCGTACAGACTCTTCCGCGCGAGTGCCGAAGAGTGACTGACGTTGCCTCGCCGTAACTACGCGCGAGAAGGCCCGAACTCGACCGAGGGGAGCCGAGCGCGCCACCGTGGTACCGCTACCGGCGGCCACGCGACGTCGTGGCAGCACCGCTCGGTGGCGTCGCGACGCCGGTCTTTCGCGTCACGGGAAATCGGAACTCGGAACGGGCGCAGGTGAGAAAAAAGGGCTTTGTTCAACGCTTCGTTCGGTCGTTGCGAGCCACCTTCGTCGATGTCGAAACAGCGCCGCGGTGTCGTCTAAATCAGCCGCTGTGTAAGGACGACCGGGTCTCGAGTGAGAGTGTTGTCTCGAGGAGGATCTCCGGACTGATAACTCGCGCAGATTGTATCGCCGGCAGCCGTATCGATCGATTTTTAACACAGGTAACTTTCTTTTCGCTTCGATCGTCTCTTGATTCATTGAGAGGAATCGAATCGAAGTCGCGCCTAAAAGCTACGCAAATAAGCTGCGCTCACAAATGAGATGCGTGCGCGATGTTGCGACTTAACCTAAAAATGCGATTGATCTCTGTATGGTGCGCGGCGCAACTTAACCTAATTACCGCTCCGTTAGCGATGATGTAGAAAAATAACATATAGTTCCGGAATTAAATAGCAACTAGAGCAAATTAGTTTTTTCACGTTAAATAAATAAAACGATTCCCCGTGAAATTAATCTTCTATAATTCTTTTTTTCTCCGTTGTATGTGAAACCATTTCAATTATTTTTGTTTTAAAAGAATTTATTATATTTCCGCGCGCGGGCGCATATACGGAGATATATTGCACGTGAATTTTCCGTTGTATTCGGCATATATCATAAAATAATATTAACGAGACTTTCGTGCGCAAGAAAGTGCAATTTTGCAGCTACAATATATTTACGTTAGCGACACAATTTTAGGAACGATAATTTTACGCCGTGACTTTTGACTCGCGACATCAGTTCAGACCACATTATAAGTTAATTAAATGACGTTACGTAAAACGGATTATTTGCACGTTTCTGCCTTTACGAGACCACTCGACTGGCGATGCAGAAAAATCCGCCGTAATTACCACCTCGATCGCACGATCCCGTATATAATTGCAGGGCTCGGGCATTATTTCAATTACAGCGTTATAATCGCGCTCGTTGTGCGAGCCGATATTACGTTCCGTTCGAATCTTGCGTATAGGCAATGCGCGCGCCTGGCGGATTCCCATTCAAGCGACAATGGAATAAAGGTCGTCTATAACTTATACGTCTGTCTTACTTTCATCGTAGGCGTAGCCTACGATCGACCACCATTCAGGAATCTGATTTTAGTTTCTCTCGCGTACATGGCCGCTGTTTGCAACTGGTGTATTGTATTATGCACCGCCGGGTAAATCTAGCCGGGGAAATTTTGCGGAACGCTTACAACGAGAGGGAATAACTTAAAGAACAGCCGTGCGCGCGCGCGCGCGCGGGAAAAAGCGACTTTGCAAACGATTCTATTTTACGATCGTACGTATTTTGATAGCTCGCACAGCTTCACCCGCGGCGAAATTTTTAATCCGCGCGATACATCGCGAATGCGCGGCCGGAGTTATTTTTATTGCATGCGGTCGAACGAAGTGCCCGGCGAACCATGAAGCTTTAATAACTTCAAACCGGACTTTGTGAAAATGAGCAAAAGCTGAACGGTACGCGAGAGAGAGAGAGAGAGAGAGAGGGGGGGGAGGGAAAGAGAGCGTGCAGCAACACTTGTATTCCGTTATGCGCTGCTTATTTGCAACTTCTTTCGCTCCGCTGTAATTACCGCGGTGTTTTCGATTTTGTCGTGATGCGTGTTCAAGATGAAAACTTGAAATTATCATCTTTCGCGAGGGTAACAGCGGTCTCCTAAAGTCATCCTCTGCTTTACGTTCGTAATTACGATTTAACCGAGAGAAACGGTGCTCGTTCAGCGAATTGAACACGAGGAACGCACGCAGGCGCGGAGTACATGGACGCGCGGAGAATTATTTGCAAATGAATAATCTCTCGTGAGTCAACCGACTCGGAGCGCCGAGAGAGAGAGAGAGAGAGAGAGAGAGAGAGAGAGAGAGAGAGAGAGAGAGAGCGAGCGAGAGAGCGAGACAAACGCCTTGTGTCGCCGTACATGATTCATGGATTCTGCGCGTTCGTTAAAGGCTTTCTGTAGACGCTCTTGCACGGCCACCCGAGAATGCCAGATTAGATACGTAAGCGGCATTTATGGCGAGTGGAATTAGAAGACTGACCGCGCTCTTATCAGGCCCGTACCTCGTTTCCGTTCGGGCTATCGCCGTCGCGAGCATAGTGTATCGTCGGAGAGGCCATTCGCGATTCGGAAAATATTTTTTTAATCGACCATTGTGCATATGTGCGCACGGTAGTCGAGTTCTTCTGTTTGCGCACGCTCGATGTTCCGCCCAGGCGATACTCAAAGCGCAACACACACACACACACACACACACACACACACACACACACACACTCGGTGCGATGCACGCAATGCGTGGCGTAGTCGAGAGAGTTTCAATCGTATTGAAAATAGCTTAGGATAGCGTTGGGCAAAAATCGCCGACTCGTGACTCTTGGAGGTCGCGATTTTCTCCATCACGCCCGATTCAATCAGCGGCGAAGGATCGCCCAGTCGCGAGCGATACTCTCGCGACGGTATCCCCTTTCTATCATCCGGATTTGTAATCACCGCGAACCGAAACGCATTGGATCCGTGTGTACGCCGAGTGTGCATCGCCCGCCGGTACTGCAGATATTATCTGCTGTGCCGAGAATTCCGAGCGGAATGTATAGCACTGTGTTGGAGAGAACCTGACCTCGCGTAACCTCTCAACTTCGGCTTCGTTTCCCGGATATATTCGCCGCTCAGTGGGTTAAGACGCCCAGCACCATAAACATGGCAGCCGTACTTGGACCCAAGCCCAACCCCCGAAAGCTTTCTTGTAGCGGAATACACCAGTACGTCGATTTTCGCCGCGCAACGAGTCGACGGGATGTTTGTTAGACGCGAAATGGCTCTCCCTTTCCCTCCCTCCCTTTCTCTCTCTCTCTCTCTCTCTCTCTCTCTCTCTCTCTCTCTCTCGCCCTTTCCCTCTCTCACGCCTGTGCGCAACACACATATCCCGATAAAACGCGCGACCGACCGGCCGCGCGGCCGACCGGCCGGCCGGCCGGCCGGCCGGGGCATCCGGCCATTAACATATTAATTCAATTATTCAGTTTAGAACGCTATATTACGCTGATCAATGTTTGTAAACCGTATTGCATTTCTAGCATGAAATGTTGCGAGCGTACGTAAATAATTTAGCAGGATGGAGCGACGAATTTCAACCGTCGACTGATCCGAGCTTTAGCCAGGAATAAAGCGATATGATAATCCAATCCGGGAAATATCGCGGGGGGCTGCGGAGGGAACCGCGGAGAAAAACGGCTTTCCCTTAGCGTAATCGAATTTGATCGTAAATATTGCCGTGTTAATAATCCCGCCGTAATAACCCATCGATCGCGAAATTAACATCGTGTATTCTTCATCAGCTAATTTCATTCTAATTAATGCGCGTCAAATAATTGGATACTCCGTCGGAGCTAGAGCCGATGCGACAGATCAGTCCATCGCGGTCCCGTCGCGCTCGGTGCGTTCGCTGCGCATGCGGAATCCAGCATTCGCGAGTCGCGGCCAATTGCGTTTTTTCTTTTGCGAAGAAGACTCACACGCGCCTCGCCGCGGTGATCGCCGCGAAATGCGTGTTTCGCCGAAGCCGCATTGTCGCTCGCGTATTTTTCTGCGACACGAGAAAGAGTTTCCTCGTGCCCGCCGCCGCCGCCATTATCTCGCACACCGCAGACCAAGGTTAACAATAACGACGTCGAGCCGATATTTGGCGCACGTTTCCTTCTTTCGCGCACG